TGCTGTCTCCAAGAATGAGATTAGGGAAATTTACATTATTTGATCATTTTTTTCCAGTGTGTTTGATCGGAGTTTGGTGCGTTTTTATTGCAGGCATAGGAAATTATACACAAAATTGACATTTAAAGAAGCCAAGGTCATAAAATCAAGAAGTCAAGAGTTAGGAAACTATATTAGTAGAGCTGCTTGCACCCTATTCTTTAATCTACTTTATATGCAAACAGTTGAATTACCTGCTCATAGTACAATTTTTGATAGGGCCTAATGTTTCAGCTACCCTAATGATGATTATGCCTATTATAAGAACAGGCCAAGGCACCATAATGTAGAAAAGTTGATTTCAAAAGAAATAAACTTTGTCAAAGTTGGATGAATAAGGCAGCAAATGGCAAGAAAAGTAAAGCAGTCCTGGCTGAAGCAGCTGAACACTACACTGGAGAAGAGAATTCAGCTCTACTGCTGCCTCGGACTGCTCAGGAGCTACCAAGTATGTCATCAAACCCAAATTCTTCACCAGCAGTTACTGATTTTTTGCATCTCTCCTCCATACCCAACACTGGAGGCTGGCATGTATCATGCTCTAGGTGCTCAAAACATGGAGTTTTGGTGGTTGTTGGACCTTAAATGAGGATAACTTGCTGTCATTTTGAGTCCCAGACCCACCCAAAACTGGTAGCTGTGCTGGACCTGGACCTCCCTGAGCCTCACTTCTTCACATGTGAACTGGGACAACTGTATTTTCTCTCTTTGCAGGAGAACTGTAAAAATACTATACAGACCCACAACCTTTTATGCATGTATAGGCAAGCGGAGGTCAGGGAAGGACTTGGGTATTACAGCAGTAAGCACCATAGGAAAGCCCAGCAGTAATTATTAATTCCATCTTCAAGCATGGTTTGAATACAGCTCAACAAACAAAGCACTGAAGAATGAGGGGAAGATAAAATATTGACTAGCTGCTCCATCACTGTCTGGTCTGTGCCCTAGATAGCACAAGGGTATTTTGGAAAAAGCATACTAGAAGCACTTAATTAAAAGCTGGAGCTTTAAGGATTTGTATTTTCAAACTTAACCTTTTTTTTTTAAAAAAAAGATTATTTTAATATAGTTGCATGCAGCTCTATTTAGAGAGGTAGTCACATATAGACATGTACGTATTGAGAGGTTATATAGGCACATTATTCTACAAATATACAGACATTTATCTGTGTTATCTAGACTTTCCTAAAACACAGACAAGCATGCGACACCTAATGCAGCCCTTGATGAGAATTGCTCTCTCTTCTCCAAAGAGTACCAGCAGTAATTATTTACCATTAATTCTTAACAGGAAGAGATTCAGCTGGGATGTAGTAAACAAGAAAACTCTATAGATTGTTCAATATAGCCTGGCTGGCTCTCAACTGAGGTACAAAGTGATCGGATCACACCTCCTGGATATTTCAATCACAGTTTTTATCACCAGTGAAAAGCACTTTATTAACCTGTACTTGGTCAGGTCCCTTCCATGTTCATATACTCAACACTCTCCAGATCATGCAAGTGCCCCTTCTAGTTCACATTACCATGCTTCAAATCCTAAAATGCTGTGGGGTTAAACAACTAACAAGACAGAGACCTGAAGGGTTCATTTAGGCTAACGACATCTTGACCTCTGCTACCTTCCTACTTTCCATAGATTCTGGTTTTGCTGGGGTTTCTTTTGTAATAGGGTAAGGGCTTCCTCTTTCCAACAACAGAAACATCCAACTGTGGCAAAAAGATGGTCCTAAAAGGCAACAGTGGTGATTCACAAGCGAAATCATCACATGTGCAAAAAAAAAAAAAAGAAAGAAAGAATCCTCCAAGTGGGTTATTTCATTGCTTCTAAAAAAAATGAAAAAAAAAAACCCAAGGAAAAGAGGCAACTTAAAACTGTGGTATTTTTAAAGACGTGTCCTACCACTGATGCATTTCCTGGCATGTCTCACATCATCACCCCTTTCCTGTGACTTCTCCACCATCAATAGGAGTTGTGTGCATCAACCCGGGGAGCCTGAACACCAGGCAGAAATGTGTATGTATGTGAAAAGCACCGTTTTCTTCGTTATGGCAGAGAACTGAAGTATGCAACTAGCACATACTGTAAAGGCATTCAAAATATGACAAAAAAAAAAATTCTTCAAATGCTTTCAATCTGCAGAAAACAAATGCTCTCTTCACTGGCTGCTCTGTGGCAAACTTCTAATTCTATCCAGAAAATCCAGCATTCCCAGTCTGGGCTAACGACCATGCTACCAGACATGAGTTTATGTTTTTCATGCACATTTCATGTATTCCCACATGCTGTGTTGCTGCCAATAATTTATGACTGATCTGCACCCAGCCTGCCCTTCAGCATTTTATTTAATCTCTGCAACAGTGATTTACAATGACTCATCATTAATACAAAAATGTACATGTGTGTTAACAAGTTTGGAAGAATCTAAGAAGGAAGGCAAAATTTTTTGCAAGTCGTGGCTGAATGACTTATGAGCCCACTGAAGAAAAGCAAAGCTAACCAGAAATGATACACTAGCTCGTCTCTGCAGAAAACAATTTAAGCAGGAAGAGTTTTTCTCTCCTGCATACCACCTTAAAAGGAAAAGGATTCATCAAAAGATTGGGAAAGGGTTGCCGCATACCCCCATGGATTTGGGAGGGGATGAGTAGCTCGTTGGTCAACCCATGAATGGATGTTTCTTGAGGATGTACATATATGTGCAACCTGCACGTTCTGCCATGGCCTCACAGCCTCCTTGTTCCTTAGCATCCACTACAAAAAGCAGGGGCTGAATTGCTGTATTTTGGCATTTCTGCCCACCACCTGTGATTTAAGAAAGCCCTGACTGTCCCTATAGCGTTAAATCTTTGCACAGCTGGGGAGAGAAGGGGAATTTGTCAATAATTTACACAATTGTAACACCACAGCAGAGTTACCAAACTAGCTCAAGCAGAGGAAGCCTGCCCTACATCCACAAGACTTCAGTTATAATGTATTTTGACCTCCTTTTTTTTTTTTTTCTTTCTCCTTGCACATAAGGAACTTATAAAAACACATCTGACACAAAGTCAGAGTAAAAACTCCTCAAATCTGAGCCAAGATGGGTACGGAAAAGCACCCTGGAAAGCCACTCGAGAGAATTACCACCAGCTTCAGTTCAAAGCATCTTATATTCATAATGTCAAAAACATTTTTTGATGAACCATCCTAAACAGACACACTTGCCCACAACAAACCCTATGTTCCCAGACCGCTCCAAAGCAGCACACACTTGCTCCACCCCATCGTTAAATAAAACCCCTGACAAACATACACAGCTTCTCAACTGGCCAAAGTGCCTATCATTAAACTGAAGGACAACCATAACAATTAAGAGTATCGCCTGGATGAAGGCTGGAGGATGTAAAGTTGAAGCAAACACTATTTTTTTCTAGCTGAGCCAAAATACTGTGGGTCACGTTTCCTTATGACACGTATTTCATGTTTAGTGCCTTTTATTCCTCCATTTTAAAGTAAGTATCTTGGAAGCATACTTCACATACACTAAGTATTTGGTATTTTCTTTTATTCAGTGTCTTAAAGGGCTTCAAAAAATTGATCTCCCAGGGCTGCTGTGGGGTCATAGAAATTGATAACCCTTACAAGCTATGCTTATGTGAGCCCGCCTGCGTCTCCCAGATAGTGCACTTTGTAAATTAATCCTCCAAAGGCAAATATATTGTAAGTAGCTTGTTATCTCTAAAGTACTAAATTGAAGAATACACGGGATTATATTGACAGAAATCACATTTTCTGTAATGGGGTTTAATATATCTGAAATCTCTCCCACAGGCTCCTACTCTCTCTGAGAGGAGGGTTTGTTAACGTAGGTGCAATGGACATCAAGACCAAATTTATTCACTAAAATGGATTAGGCCATGTAATCAGAGCTTCAGTAATATTAATCTCTGACACTTATTGAACGGAAAAATAAACCAACTTTTGTCTGCAAACTGGCATTCCTCCCTCCCTTTTCCCCAGCAGGCTCGCTGTTTGCCTTGGCCATTTTCTGGGTATTACTTCAAAGAGGATAAGGTTTCCCATCATAAACACTAATCTAAAAATATTAGGACAATTAATTAGATACACTTAGTTTTACAAGGTATTAGATTGCAATACACTTCAAATACGACACTTACTCTGGGATAGTGGGAGAAACCTGCATTTCAATGCAGTGACAAAGGGTAATAAATCAAACTTCCTTTTTTTAAGGGTTCACTGTTGTGCTTTTATACTTAAATCACAAGTAATTTTCACTGGTTGCCTTCACCACATCCTGGACAGTTAGCAACCCAAAATCCACTGTAGGAAACAGCACAGATCCCAATTTCCTTCAAAGAAATCACTTCTACAACAGATCAGGTGCTCCAGCAACCCTTAGCTGGAATAAATAAATAAAATTGTCCCACACTGTACTTCAGCAGCAGAAAGCCAGATTGTCCTCAAAGTTTATTCAAGCTTTCAAAACCTGGACTTTTAAAACAAACCAGTAAAGAGATGGAAGGATGTCAGTCAAAAAGGAAAACCCTACTACAAGCAAAAAAAAAAAAAAGCAAGCATCCCAAAACAACAATACGTTCTGCAGAAATGGCACCAACTGCCCCTTCTTTTCACCCAACATCTCCACCTCTTCCAAGACCAAAGTTCTCAAAATGAATGTGGCTTCCTATTAAAGAAGACACATCCTCAGCCAGAAGGAGTGGTACTCAAATGCAAATACACTGAAATGTGCCCAAGAAAAGGGAAAATAAATATGGTTTGTTTTATGCAGTAGCAAACCTGTTAGTTCCCATAACTGAAACAACTCACTCACCTATATCCCCTATGCATCAATAAACTGCTGGGGAGGAGCAGGCAGGGCAACGTGTGTCCTCAAAAATGCAAAGCATTAGCCAGAGGGTGCCAGCAGCCATATAGAAACACCAAGGAAATTACTTACCAGTTGTTCACTTGAAGTATAGTGAGCCCTGTGTCTTGTGCCAACTGCTTTTTCTGTTCTTCTGAAGGGTAAGGGTGCTATAAGACACCAAAATAAATACACATATTTAAAACAATGTTTTGGGTTTTTTTGCCTGCTTTTTATTTTAAACTAAAAAACAACCCCCCAAACCAAACCAGGAGTGTGACATCTCTTGAAAGGTGAAAATGCTGAGGTGTGTCACTCTTTTATAATTATTAATGGGCTACTACATCACTTAATTAATGGCAGTAAAAGACAAGCCAATTATAAAGATTAGTGAAGTGGAGAAATAACTGCTTAGGATACTGGCAGTACCCTGATACTCAAGAAGGGTATTTGTTGCATTAGCTGAAAGTTTTTGCACTTGTCTCAAACGAGTCAAATCACCTCTCCCCCCCCCCTATTTCACAGAACAATAAAGACTGTGATAAAGCACTTCTCTCTAAAACTAAAACACACTGATGTTGTCTGAGACAGTGAAGGCAAATCTTGCCAGTGCCCCAAAACAATTTGCAAATAAGATCAGCAACCTGAACATAAACAAACGCCTGGGTTTTGAACACAGGCCAACACAAGGTCAATGATCAGCACATTTTTGCCTGACATTAACATAGCTGGGCTGCACTAATCCTAAGAGACAGAAAATAAATACTGGTTTAATTGAAGATAATGTTAAAATTCAATCATAAGTTAAGTTTCTTGTGAGAACTTGATTGCTTTCTCAGAAAATTCTCTTCTGCATGAATACAGATTGCTTAATAAATCAACAGCAAAAAGCACATCAAAGTTTTAAATTTAGAAACATCATTTCTGGCTTTTCCCTTCACGTAAAATTGTCACTATCCAAAAAATTAAAAAGACAAATATTGCAAATGTAACAGCACCAAGGAAAACCCCTGTTTTAAGGGTCTGGCTTAGCTTCTAACCTGAACACCCGAGTCTGAGTACACATCGGATTCAGACCTCGTCTGCTACAAGGTACTTACTATTTCAATAAAGATAATTTGATATAACTGGTTAGACCTTATCCCACCACCCCATTTAGCAGTTGGTTGTCACAAAGTATTTGCTGTTATACATACATCCCTTTTTTTCCCAAAACATTCCCATATTCTTTGGATGTATTCTTCAGCATAATATTACATGAGATGTAAACTGAAACCCTGTAAAGCATAAGAATTTAAAACCTTGTAAAATTCCACAATCTTATTGGTATCGTAACTATTTAGCAGATTTTATATATTCTTGTAAACAGCATATCTGACATCTAACAGCTATTTTACATGCCTGCATCACCTCAACTTTACCAAACAGGAATTTCTGTAGTAACTATGGCAAGTTCCTTGTGCCCAACATGCCCATTTCAAAGCCCACCGCTGTGGCCACTGGCTCCAAAAGATATTTTTTTCACCCCAAAACACTGGGGAGTTTCCAATTATTTAAAAAATACGATTTCCCTTACAGTAAGCCTACAGGTAACTTGTATACCTGTAAACCACCCCCTATATTTTCTGCATGAACCTGAAACAGCCTCCCCGTGGTTGACATGGGGAAAGGGATTTTACTTCTTTTTTATGGGCAATTTGCATTTTATACATGCAAAAATATAGCATTAATTTTATCATCTACCTTATATACACGTTCATCCACAACAAACACTTGTACTGGACTTAATGTCCATCTACCTGAACATAGTATTTTGCTCCTCTTAAAAAACCCCAACCCTATAGAGATGATTTGTAATGTTTTCATCTTTATAGCTTACTTCCCATTTCATTACTTTGCTATCAAGTGCTGACAAAATTATTCCCTTTTTTTCTTATTTTGCTTTGCCACCTTACATGTGATCTAATTTTAAGTAATTGAACAAACTGTGTCTAATTTCATGCAGCAAGCAATAATTACTAGACAGCCTCTAGCTATTGGAATTGAGAACTCTGTCTCCATTAAGCAATTTTCAATTGTTCTGGACTTTTTTCCAAATAGACAAGACTGGATAAAATTAGCCATCAGAATAATACAGTCACTGTAAAAATAATTGCTTTAAAAGTCCCAAACCCCAAATTCCTCAAATTGCAGTAAGTTTAAGGTCATCCTATTATTCTTTTTTTCATACCCTAGCATAGCATAAACTTTTAATTTAATGATAAATCTATAATTGCCATAATCACATGACAGACTGGGACTTCACATAGCTAATCCCTCTTAGCTAAAGGTTCACAATGCGGCAGGCTTTTCAACTATGATTTGGTGGGGTTTAAAATAATCTTAAACACTGGGCATCCTTATTATATAAGCTTTCTGTGGCTCGTACAAGTTGTTCCTTTGTAGGCTAAAAAAAAAACCCCATAATAAAAATGACTTGACAAAGAATCAGCATGCCACAGGCTAGGTTGCTATAAAAACATTCAAAGCCTTGTTGCATTCCCACCCACAGGGCTAGGAAGGCCTGCGCTACAGGCAAAGGCAGACATCACATTGCAATGGACAGAAAGAGGGAAACCCTGAGAACTGCCATTTTATAAAGAAATAGGAAATCCAGTGGAAACTTGTTACTGGTCTTTATTTCACCTGTGCAAGACTGACAGGTGCCTTCCAAAACCTTTCTAATGGTTGCTCAAAGGGATAAAGACACATGCACAGAGTTATGAGTATATATGTATATTGTACTTGTGTGTGTGGATAAATTATATATCTAAATATTTATACAAAATATGCATCTTAATGAAATAGTTTAGTTTTAGGTAGTCCTGGCACAAGCAGGGAGTTGGACTTGATGATATTTCTGGGACCCTTCCAACTAGAGATATTCTATGATTCTATGAAATATATAATCACATTAAAAATATATATAAATATATATATATGGACGTGTGTGTCTAAAAATACTACACTGACTTCAGTTGTCAAGTCTACCTATCACTCTGGATCACTTTGGGATATCAAAGCAAATTGTGCCACTGTTCAATAAACAGTGACTTGAGACCTTTACTTTGTTGTGTACATTAGCTCCTACCATTATCTCTTAAAAGCTTAATTATTTGCAAACAATTGATCAAGATGGGAATTGGAGAAAAGAGACGCCGGACCACCGGGAGAGCTGCAATGCATTAGGAGAGCAAACAGAATTACCTTTAGGTCTTATAATCAGAATTAACGATTGGGACCGTACGCGGGGCAGTGCAAGAAGCTGTAACACTCTTACTGGAGTGTTTTCCATTTGATCTGCATTAACACCTCGAGTGAAAGCCATAAAACGGTGATTACAGATGGGAAGGCTGACCCTCCTTCCCAGAACCAGCCCAGCCTGTGTATACTGGAAGGCTGCAGACAGGCTTCCTTGCCAAGGCCAGAGGAAACGGGCAAATCCAAGGGGAAAAAAATAAAAAGTAGGAAGCAAGCAGGTTGAAAAAAAAAAGGGCATTTGAAAGAATAAGGCTGACAGCAGATAAGGACTCTGAATATGGCTCTGGTATTTTCTGATCATGCCTGCTGCTGCTACAGCGCCACAGAGCAGCATCCACCGAATGGTATGAGACCTAGTGCTTTTCCCTTCCCATAAATCTAGCGCTGAAATGCGGATTGTTTGGCACCATTAATGTGTTTTTGAGGCTCTGTGGTATTACTTTTAATAATGACTTAGTACAGAAAGTGATTGCTTAATAACACCATCAAAGTCTGCATGCAAATGAAAATTATCCCTGGGGGATTTGCCCAGGGTAATATGAACAGTTAAGGAACATTTGAAAAGGTAAAAATAACTATGCAAAATATGAGTCAGAGCAGTCATTTTAGCAGTAACAAAGAAATCAAAGTGACAGAGAGAAAAATGTAACTTTCCATCATATTCTCTTGTCACTGTTTTATGAATGGTATTTAGAGAGCAGCAGTCTTAATAAAAGCCCCCTTTCAATGAAGCCGAGGTCATTTTTAGCAAAACAAACAATAAGACTCTTTTTTTTTCTTTTTTTTACCACCTTTGACTACAGCCACTGGGTAAAGTCTCCAGCAGATACAGATGGAAAACGTCCAAGATTGTCTCTTAATGATACCCCTTGTCCAAGTGTACTCCTTTCCTCAGATTTTCCACCCCAGGCTGCAAATGCTAGATGTCAGGACAGCAAAAGGCTTTATCTTATCTGTAATGCGGTATCAATAACACTGGTTCCTCTCTGCCTTGCCCACCATAACAGCACATTGTAATGGTGGCAGAAAAATATGAAAGTAATCCTGCCCAGAGTTTACTGCTCAGATAACAGGAGGCAAACCCACCCCTTTCACCCCAGATTACTAATTCCTTGTGGCACCAAACTGCCTTGACAGCACTGCCAACCAGCCCTACCATAGCATAGAGGCAGAAGCCACCCCCAAGCAAAAGGTTGCATGTTACATTATAAGGGTGTCGTGGCAGCTATCCAGCATTGCCCTTATCACAGCAGCACCGTCGCTTGGCTGACCACACCGGGAGAACCATTTCGGAAGTCCTTTTATCCCCTTCCTCCAGCCCTCTGCCTTCTCCAGAGCACAGTGTAATAATGCACCAAAGTGAAATGACCTTGAGGTAAGCTCTGGTAGGTGATGGGGAGAAACTACCACCCAAAAAAATTTATGCCCTCGGGAGTGTTTATTAACTGTTTTCTAACCTCAAAATAAAAAGAAAATACCCAAGACTAAGATTTTCTTGTTTCTGAAGAGTAACTTAGCTTACACCTAACTCAGCCGTCCAATGACAAACTGCACATAGATTTTATGCTGAACTCTCAGTCCCTGCTTTACCCAAACTTGTCGAGGGTTAGCTAAGGCACAGCCATTTGGGTCTCTCCATTTCCCTGCTTCCTCCTGGTTTGTATTCAAACTGTTTACATTAGTGATCAAGTTGATCTACGAGAAATTATTTATTTTTTTAATATCCATAATGATTTCCTATTGTCTCTTAGCTTTATGAATTAGTTTTACTGTTGCAGTGAATGCTTTTTTTGTCTCCTGACTGCACATTATCAAAGGGACACTTTGTGCCTCCCATTTGCATTACAAAAGCAGTGCATGGTGTATTCTA